AGCTCCTGGCAGGCCTGGTGATCAAGCCTGCAAAGTGCCGTGCCATCCCGCTGGGAGACCTGCAATGTGCTGGCGCGCTGGATCGGGCGCGGGACTCCCTGGTGGCTGCGGACAAGGACTGGGCGGCATTCCCCATCGTGGACCATCTTGAATATCTGGGCGTGCTGCTGGGACCTGGTGTGACGCAGGAGGCCCAATGGCGTGCTCCGATGAGGAAATACTCTGAACGCGTCGGAGAGATCTCCAGGAGCCGCGCGGACGTGCACGCGGCCATCCATCTGTACCAAGAGCGCTGCGTGCCCGTCCTCTCGTACAAGGCGCAGATGATGGAGGCCCCTGCCACTCTGAAGAAGCTCGAGCGTGGGAGGCTGGCGCACCTGCTGCGCCTTCCTGGCAGCTTCCTGGGGGACAGGGAGTGGCACGAGCTCAGCACTGTCGGCGGCCCGCAGATCCCGTCCGCCACGACCCTCTGCGAGGCAGCCCTAGTGCGGGCGGCGGTGGTCACGCTGGGCTCCTGGCGAACGGCTGCGAGGCAGCTCCGAGGAGCCGCGCTGCGGCACCTGCCGCTGGTGCGCACGGTCCGTGGATGCCCGTGGCCCTGCTGGTGGCGATCTGAGGCCATTGCGACGACGCTGGAGAGAGCGGCGTCGAGCAGCGGGACGGGCCCACGCCCGTCGGCTGTGCGCGCCCTCCGCGAGGCCGCCTCCAGCGAGGCCCGTCGCAGGCGCCCCAGCAATGCTGCAGAGGACGAGCGGCAGGCTCCCCTGCGGCGTGTGCGTCCACAGTCTCTCCTTTACTCCTCCCTCCTTCGTTCGTACCTTCGCTCCGATCCTCGGCTCCCGCGCCTCCATCTCCGCCTGCAAGAGCGCCTCAGACGTTGGTTTGGGGTCCACGATGCCGACGCTGGTGCGATCGACTGGTCTGCCGTTGCTGCGGTGATGCATCGCATTCCGCCATCCTGGCGCAGTGCTTGCATCAAGACGTGGGGAGGGGGCTGGATCACCGAGTCCAGGATACGCAACTCGTAAAGGGGTTGCGTCTGGGGATGTCCTGGGGCTCGCGACTCGCTGAAGCATTACTTTTGTTGGTGCGACCCGATGTACCGGCTTGCTCGTAGGCAATTAAGAGCTGTCCTCCCCGCGCCCCCGTTTTTGGACTCCCTCCTGGCTCTGGGACTGATCCACCCCACCCCCGAGACGTTCAAATTCACCGCGTTTTATTTTCAGCTCTATCGGCTAGCTCACCAAGAGAGCAAAGCCCGCGCCATCCCGTTTTGTGACAATGATGCTCGCTCGCTCGCTCGTGCAGCACTTCAAGCTGTCGAAATGCCCCTCGGTGATCAGCGCCGAAGGTGGCCCCGCCCCCAGAGGCGGTAGGTGGGGAAGACACGCGGCCCCCCAGACGCTCCAACCTCCTCCTCCTCCTCCCCCTCCTCCCTCCTCCCGGAAGGCCTCCTCCTCCTCCTCCTCCTCCTCCTCCTCCTCCTCCTCCTCCTCCTCCTCCTCCTCCTCCTCCTCCTCCTCCTCCTCCTCCTCCTCCTCCCCTCCTCCTCCTCCTCTCCTCCTCCTCCTCCTCCTCCTCCCGCCCTCCTCCTCCTCCTCCGTCCTCCTCCTCCTCCTCCTCCTCCTCCTCTCCTCCTCCTCCTCCCTCCTGCTGCCCCTCCCCCCCTCCCTCCTCCTCCTCCCCCTCCTCCTCCTCCTCCTCCTCCTCCTCCTCCCAGAATTACACGCCGGTCGTTGAAAGTAGGTATGTTTGGGTTCCCAGGTCCCAATCTACCTCAAGCGCCTTCCTACTTCAAGAGTCGACACGCTGTTGCTGTGCTTTGCTATTCTCTGGTGGGGGGTGCTGGACCCCATCCACATGATCCGCCCTCCTACTTCATGTGCTTACCTATTTCTTCCGACCGACGTGTACCCCTGGCTTGTCTGCCAAGCCCCGCCAGCTTGACCTGCGCGGGCTGTGAGTCTACAGCGTCGAGCCCTCGATCGGCAAGACCGGCTGCACGAGCGGCGCGAGGACGGTCGAGCAGACGCCAAGGCCGACCTCCCGCCCTCCGCACGTGGGCAATCGTCTCGGGCAGCGTGTTGAAGTCGCCCAGGATGAACAATGGCCCCGGCAACGCTCCGACAAACTCCATGAGCGTCCGAGGATCCCGATGCTCTCCGTGTTCAGGCCCACGCCGGCAGCCAGGTAATTACAAGGAGACGACGTGCAGCGGAATGGCCAGGCCGATGTTGAGTCTGACCACTTCTACTGTGTGGCGCGGCAGTAGTTCCGAAACCAGCCCTGGCTCCCGCATTGCCGCTATGCGACTCATGACGGCCACTCCACCGCTTGAATGAAGTGGCCCGTCACTTGTGGAGTGCGTAGGCCGCGCTGTCCACATGTAGCTTCGCTCCTCGGCCCAGCGCGCCGCCGAGGAAAGAAGAGGTGCTGCCTCGATACGGTGCTCCTGCACGCACACCGCGGCTGGCAGCTCACGCCACTCACTCTCATGCGCCCACTCCAAGATCGTTTGCATCGAAGACCCCGTGGAGGAATTGGCGGACCAGAGCTTGATGCATTACCCGTCGCCCCCGCCGCCGGCCGCTGCAGCAGGCAGCATCCTACCCGACCAGGCGTCGCCCGCTCTTCTTGGGCCGCTTGGCCTTCGTGCTGAGCGCCTCGAGCAAGCGCTTGACCTTAGCCATGTCTGCCACGTCGACCGCTGCATCTCGCAAAAGGGTCTGGACTTATGTCGGGCGTGTCCCCCTACAGGGGGATTTCCGACGAAAAATTCAAGATACCCCAAAAATAGACCAAAAAGGCCAACAAATACTCAAACAATAGTCCCCAGACTATGCTTTGTTTATTTGTTTATTATGTTTGGTGTGTTTCCCTACCTAGGCTCTGCCTAGAAGGGTTCTTAAGGTGTATGCTTAAAGGGCCAGGCAGTGGTAGCGTTGCTGGTCTCATCTTAGCTTAGTTTATTGCATCTTAGCTTAGCTTAGTTTTATCTTAGCTCAGGATTATCTTAGCTTAGCTTACCTTCATCCTAGCTTCGCTGAGCTTTAGCATTAGCATGGGTGTAATTCCCTACCTAGTCTTTGCCTAGAGGGTTAGCTTAGCTTAGCTTCGCTTCGCTTAGCTTAGCTTAGCACAGCGCAGCGCTGCATTAGCATAGCATAGCATAACATAGCCAACCATATCATAGCATACCATATCATATCATAGCGCTGCATAGCATAGCATTGCATTGCATAGCATAGCATTGCATTGCATAGCATTGCATTGCATAGCATAGCATACCATAGCGCATATTGGCAGAGCATATCATAGCATAGCATAGCTTAACATAGCACAGCGCAGCACGACTCGGCATAGCTTAGCATAGCATAGTATAGCATAGCATAGCATAGCAACGCATAGCATAGCGCAGCATATCATAACATAGCATAGCATAGCATAGCATAGCGCAGCATAGCATGACATAGCATGGCATAGCATGGCATAGCATGGCATAGTATGGCATAGCATAGCAACTAATGCTGCTTTCCTAGGGGCTCCAACTTCTAGGTAGGGTCGCACTGGGGTGATTTTTATTTTTCGTCGAAAATCCCCCTGTAGGGGGACAGGCCCGACTTAAGTCTGGACTCCTTCGTCCTCTGCATCGAACTCCACTCCCCCGTCGAGCTCCATGTCTGCGGCGCCTGCTGCAGCCCCGCCAGGTTGAGCATCGCCACCAGCAGGAACCACGGAAGCAGCCCCAGCTGGACGCTTGACCGCTTCTGCCTTGTCACGCTCCTCTTTGAGCTTCTGGGTGGTGGCCGTCTTGATCCCAGACGTGTCGACCTGGCGACCGCTTCGAGCATCTTGTGAAAGTTCTCTGGCAGCGCCACGCCGTCGACAGTCTCGGGGGCCACGTCCGCTCCGGGAATGACCGCCTTGACCTTCTGCTCGGCGATGCGTCTTGAACCCGCTGGAGATTGTTCTGGTGAGTCTGGAGCTGCCCTTGCAGTTCTGCTGCGTGCTTCTGGGCCTCCTCGAGGGCCTGGGTGACCTCTGTGAGCCGTGCCCTGCATGACTCGATCTGCTTCTGTTTCTTGGTCTCGCGCCCGAGCAGGTCCTGGAAGGGCTTGGTGCTGAGGTCGATTGGCTGTTGCTCCTCTTCAGGCGGCTTCTCGGCGAAGGTCATCAAGTCGTCCATTGACTTGCCTGAGTGCGTCTCGAAGGCCCGCAGGAATCTGACGAGAGCATCGTTGTCTGTGGGCGCTGTGCTCTTATCTTCTCCCGACGCCTTGCCTCCACGGCCTTGTCCCCCGTTCCCGCCGCGGAAGTCCGGCGGGCCGCTGGCCCAGTTGCCGAGGTTTGCCTGGGGCCGCTCGCGCAGCCCAGGCCGACGTTGGCTGTTGTGGACCTTGGGCGGCCCATACCTCCCACATTCACGACATGAAGTCCGCCACATGAAGTCAGTATCGTTTATCCGACCCCCATCCCCATCCCCATCCCCTTCGAGACCCGCACCAAATTTCACCCCCCAGTTGGGGATACACCCCTCGAAACCCGAAGGGAACGATCTACATCCCCATCTAGGGGGGCAAATCGGCCAGGAGGGCCCAGGCCACGCCGCTGGGGATAGAGGATCGGTTAAACGATACTCATGAAGTTGGCATGTCGACAGCGGGAGTTGTTGCAGGTCCAGGTGCGGAGCTGCTTGCCGCCTCCACCATCGCGGCCGTCTGCCATGAGCGGTTATACCGTAAGCTTTGGAATGGCTCTCGGTCGCAGCGCCACTTCCAAGAGCGCGACCGAGAAAGTCTGAAGAGACCTGGAAATGGCTAGGAGATGGAGGCGGAGGAGGAGGAGGCGGAAGAGGAGGTCGATAATCATGATGATGGGCAGGAGGAGGAGGAAGAGCAGGAGGAGGAGGAGGAGGAGGAGGAGGAGGAGCAGGAGGAAGAGCAGGAGGGCCCGCATGCTCGGCCCCGCGCTGGCTGGGCGCGGTCGCGGCCTACTGGAAGCCGGCGGGCTGCTGGCGCATTGGGCCGGCCCCCAGCGGCTTGCAGGTCGCCGACGCGGCCGGCGGTCGCCGATCTCGGCGGCGGGTGGCTCTCGAGGGCCCCCAGACGGCGCGGGGACCACGCCGCGTGGTGAGGCAGTTGAGCAACGAAGAGAATCGGGGCTTACACGAAGTGGCACCGCGACCCTGCTCGGTGGCTTGTGCAGACCGCCAGCGCGGCACGCCACACAGGAAGCGGGCGGGGCCCTCACGCTCGGCCTGGTGCTGGCAGCATGCGCGCTAATGTCGCTGAAGACGAACCCGGTTTCCTTCGTCGCTCAGTTGAGGTTCAGGGTTTTCTGGCGTTTCCGCCGGTTCCTTGGGGTTTCCCTTCCCCGGGATGCGTTCCAGCAGCTGCACCTCGCGAGAGCGTTCCAGGGATGCCCAGATCATCCCGAGCGGTCGCAGGAGACCCGAGGTATGGCCAGGATTCCAAACATTCGGAGGAGGGCCGCCGTGGTGAAGTCAGTGGGGGTTCGGGGTGACCGCGCGGTTTTGGGAAGTGGGTCGCCCTCCGAGGACCGAGGATGTCTCACAGGCGACGAGGGCCTCTCCAGAGGTTCCCACCGCGGTGTGGTGGCGGGCAGTGCGGTGAGGTCGTCGGAGATCCCGAGGTCACCGCACGGTCTGTCACCACACCGTCTTGGGACCTCCAGATGGTTCGCGCCGCCTCGGCGTGGCCGGCAGCTCGGGCGCGTGCGTTCAGCATGGAGGGTCGCGACCGTTTTTCGTTGAGGGCCCCTCGGCAGTGGAGACTTTTCGGGAACCGAGCGGGTCGCGCGGTGAGCCGCAAGTCAGGGGCAACCTTGGGGGACCATATGCTGAGGGGGTGATGCATCGACCCCCAACTTTCATTAATCGCCGGTTGGGGCCCGATAGCCCACCCCGCCCAGAAACGCGCGGTGTCGCTGCCAGGAGGAGGAGGAGGAGGAGGAGGAGGAGGAGGAGGAGGAGGAGGAGGAGGAGGAGGAACCTATCGCCGATCTATCGGCGATTAGGAAGGCCTTACGGCTGGTGCCGCCGACCCCGTATGCGAGACTTCCCCCGTGATCCACGCTGGCGACCCTCCGAGGACCCCCGGGGCCACGAGGGGAAGGAATTCTGCCCCCCTGCCACCCCCTCCCAGGGACCCCCCCCTCCAGCGAGGAAGGGATCGAAGGGAATGGGCTTCCCTTCGGTTGAACTGCGATTTTCTTTCGTTTCCTTGTGGCTGGCGGTTGAGGAGGCGAGCTTGGCGAAACGGAAGGGAGCGGCGACGGCAATGGCGACGATGACGACGACGACGACGACAACGACGACGAAGGCGGCGGTGGCGACGACGACGACGACGACGAGTCAAACGGAACAGCCTCTCCCACACGCCGACAGTGTCGGCGGATTGTCCTTGATTTCAGCTCGATGTTTCCACCCCTGAGCCAGTCCACTTGTCAGCCTTCCCCAGAAAACCATAGAAAGAAGGCTGCGTGGCAGCAGCTCGGTGCCGCAAGGTCGGGGAGCAGCAGCAGCAGCAGCAGCAGCAGCAGCAGCAGCAGCAGCAGCAGCAGCAGCAGCAGCAGCAGCAGCAGCAGCAGCAGCAGCAGCAGAGGGAAGATCAAGGGTCGTTTGTGTTTGCTCCTCGTGGTACATGTTGAGAAACACATTTGCTGACCCGTGGTCCAGGCCAACATGGTGATTTCGAAGATACGGGTGATTCGCGTTCGTCGCCCCCCTTCCCCCCCACCTCGACCGCTGGGTCGCACAGTGGGTCGGGCTTCTTTCGGCTCGAAGCGCGAAGTTAAAGAATCCAGGCGATCGGGTAATCATGCGATCGCGATCGCGGTCATCGGCGTGTGCTCGTGCGACGAGTGCTTGCGCTTGGCGGTGTGATCGGAAACGCGATCTAGTCACTCTTCAATTCTCAGCGTTGGCTTGGACGCCCGAAATAATTCGCTCCTTCCCCCCTCCCCCCCCCCACCCCCGCCTGCTGATGCTGGCGGCCGCGGACACTCCGCCGCCGATCGCCGGGCCGCGGCGGGCCCGGGCGCGATGCCCAGGGTGGGGGCCCCAAGAACATACACCACCACCCCGTCGATTCCTCCTCCCTCCTCTTTCCGGCGAGAGGGAGGGGGGGCGGGGAGGGAGGGGGGGCGGGGAGGGAGGGGAGGGAGGGGAGGGAGGGGAGGGGAGGAGGGAGGGGAGGGAGGGGAGGGAGGTGAGGGGAGGGATAGGGAGGGGAGAAGAGAAGGAGGGGAGGGAGGGGAACGAGGAAGAGCAAGAGGTGGTGGTGGTGTATATTTTTGGGCCCCCCGCAGGGGGGCCGCGGCAGAGGTGGGGGGGGCCCAGGCGAGGAGCCTCCCAGGCCCCGTCGGCGCCCCCTCCTCGCACGGAGCAGAGGGGCCCCTCCAGAGTGCCCAGGACAGCCGCGGGGAGCCCTGGCGACGCCCTCCCTCGAAGAAGAGGGGACTGCTTAAGCTCAGGACGGGAAACACACACAGACACACGTAATCGTCGACCCCCAGGAAAATGCGGGAAAATATGGGAAGTGGGGGGAAGACAACAAGCCAGAAGATGGGAAAATATTGGGAATCCTTTTACTTGTGTGTATTTGTTTGTGTGTCCCAGGGCCCCTTCAAAACTTTGGGAGCTCCGAGCGGATGTCTTGGAACCGCGTTGAGCCCCCCTGGCGGCGCCTCCAGCGCCGCCCCCCGGCGCCGCGCTCCGCGCGCCAGGGAAGGGGGTCCAGCGCGGATCCAAGAAATCCGCGCGGACCTTCACAAGTTTATATGTATGCATTTTTTGTTCACCTGCTCCACCCCCCATCCCCGTCGGACGAAAGTGGCGGATATGGAAACGGTGGGTCACGATATCTGCTTCGTGCAGCTGGCTTGGGCCCCGCCGCCAAGCGCTTTTCCTCGATACATGGTTGGCGCCTCCGGCGCCGGGAGGCGCCAGGCAAAACCAGCTGCGCGAGCTGATTCGCTAACCCCACCCTGTACTGACCGCCCCTTTTCGTCCGTCCCGATCCTGCCCCTCCTTCGCCCTCCTCCTCCCTCCCCCTCTCGGCGTTCGCAGACGAGATCGGGCCAGTGATCGGCCAGACGCCGCGGTGGCCCAGCCATGAACGATGAGGACGGCAACGCCAGGCTAACGACTCCATCCTCCCTCTCCCCCCCTCTCTTCCTTCCCCTCCCCCCTCCCCTGATCCGTAGCCATTTTGGCTGAAGATGCTTTGTTCCCCAGGGGACCAAACGGATACCGCTAGTCCGCGGCTGCTTTCATACTCTCCGCCTGGTTCTCCCCAGGTGTGGAGCCCTGCTACAGTCAGCAGGGCCGTCAGCTCATGGGCCGCCATGCGAGCAGCAAGGGTGCCAGCAGAGCTTGCGGCAAGGGCAAGGACAAGTCGGGCACCTACGTCAGCTGCTCGGCGTGCCGCTACCGCTGGAACTTCAAGTCGAACCATTGGTGCTACCAGTGCTGCTCGCCGATGGTGCCGCTCCCGGCTCCCGACAAGAAGCCCGCGGGCCAGTGGTCGTTCGGCCCGCCCATGCTCGCCTCGAACCCGTTCGACACCTTCGCAGCGGCGGCGCCGCCCGCGGGTGGCCAAGCCAAGGGCCCCCCTGTGCCGCCGAGGGCCGCCAAGGGTGCGCCGAAGGAGCGCCGCCCATGGGTCTGGCACGGGCCAGGCTGGTACCCGTACGGCGGCGGCCCGCCGCCAGAGGACGTGCGTGAGGCTCCGCGGCCAGCCGACCCTCTCGCGTTGCTCCGCGAGCAGCTGGGGGACTGCGACGAGTTCACGGCCCTGTCCGCCAAGCTGGCCGCGAAGGAGCAGCCTGCCGAGGCCCCGCGCCGCCCGCCCCTCTTGGAGGAGGAGGTCTCCGCGAAGGGGATCGCGTGCAGGCGAGCGCAGGCTTGGCTTGAGACCTGTGCGCGCCGCGTCATTGAAGGCGAGGCCTGGCTGGCCGACGCCAAGGAGGCGGAGGATGCAGCGGCCGAGGCGGCGCGCCAGGCCCAGCAGGACTGGGAGGAGGCGTGCGCCAAGCAGCTGCCATCGCCGTCGGCGCCGCGGTCTGAGACGGCATCCGCTGCTACGGCCATCAACCTCTTCGACGCTCGTCGACGAGGGCTCGCTGCGCTTCGTCGATGGCCCCCTCTTCGACCTGGAGGGCCTCGAGGTAGACGAGACGGAGCGCACGGAGTGGGCCCGCATCAAGGGCGAGCTCGCCACCAGCGTGCAGGCCAAGGTTCAGGAGGCCTTGGGGCCTGCCGCTCAGCAGATCCTCAAGCTGCGAGAGGAGGCCCAGGCTCTCCACGCCAGGTTGCAGGCCAAGAGGCGCCATGGCCCTGATGGAGCCCCAGCCTCGGGCCCCGCGGAGCCTTCGGCTCCTGCTGCTGGTGCCTCTTCTACTGGCGGCAGCGCTGCTGGATCGTCACGGGGCGGTGGCGAGCGCATCAGTGCTGAGGCCCTGCGAGCTGCAGCCAGGGCTAGGGGCACGGCTGCCACTGACGAGAAGAATCGGGACACGCAAGGAGTTTAGCGCCTGTGAGTGCACCGACACCGCCACGTACGGCGGCTTGCCGCTCCCGCACTACGGGGACATCTTCCTCACGAAGGATGAAGAGCTCGCCTTCTCCCCCGACCTTGAGGTCTACGGCCGCTACAAGTTCAGCACCTCCCAGAGCGATAGCGACTCTGAGTTCGAGCGCAGAGCGGTCCAGTGCAAGGATCAGGACCCTGCCAGGCGGGCAGCCATTCACAATAGACAGCTTCTTGAGGGGCGGCTGAGGTATTTCACTGGCGCCTGGGTGCCTGGCCCCAGCGTTGTTGATGACGCTACTGACTTGGCCGACTGGAAGCGTGCTTGCATTCCTTAAGTTGCCAGCTCCCTGGCAGACCCTGCACTGCAGACCCTTGTGCAAGAGGCCGCTGATTCAGCAGGGCATGACAACCTTGCGGTCGCCCAGCTGGACATGGCCAGGCAGATTTGCGAGCGAGCGTGGCATGCTCGCCGTCGCCAGCGGCAAGCTTATCGTGATCACCTCAACAGCCTCCACGACATCGACTACGATGACTGGCAGGAAGAGTTGGCTCGCAATGCCCTGGGTTACATCGACACGCGTCGTGAGCTCGACACCATGGCCCCACAGAGACGACAGACCACGACCGTTGCGCCTACGGTGGTCTTGCCATTTTGTGGAAGGCCTTTCCTCTTCTCAGCTGTTCAGGCGGAGGCACCAGATTTCCCGACTTCCTGCGCAGGCGAGGCGCGGTGCCTTGCACTGATGCCCGCTCGGCCCCGACAGGCGGCCACGGCCCCTGCGGTAGAGTGGATGCCTGGCTGTGCTCCGATGTCTACGGCTCCCTCGTCATCGACACCTGTGGGCCCGAGGATTTCCACGGGTGGACCGTGCGCGGCTACGTCGGCTTCAGCTTCGGGGTGCGCTCCGAGTTCGGCGGCCGCTCCGGCCTCGGCACCATTGGGTCTGAGTGTTTCCACGTGTGCCTCGGTTACAGCAGCGCCTGCCTCAGCCCCGAGGTGCGCCCCGTGCTTAGCTCCTGCCTCGGCCTCGGCCCCCTTAACTCCAAGGGCGTCTACGGGGGGGCCGCGTGCGAAGGCGTCTGAGGAGGGCCTCGCCAATCCCCACTCAGCCAAATTGTTGTTCGCCAACATCAGTGAGTGGGGCCCGAGGGCTCTGTCATTCATGAGCGGGGCAGGCTCCATGTTCGAGGCGGTTGCCCTCGCTGAGACCCGCGTCAAGCTCAGCGGTATGGAGGCTGCCGTTCGGAGTTGTTCAAGGACGGATGGAAGATGGTTGGGACCCCTGCCTCGGCATCAGCGCCTTCGCCTTCAGGCCCCAGGGGAGGCGAGTGGATTGTACACAAGAGGCACATTGTAGCCACCTGCTGGGAATGTTTTCGCCCTGCCAAACCGAGAGCTATTGAAGGATTTTGCCCCAGTACCCTGCATCTCAAACGCGGCAACGCGGCGCTGCTGTCTGCCCACCTCCTTCCTGGGCCCAAAACTGGTGGCACCAATGCTCTTCGCATTCGCTCCATTAGCAGGTTGTCTGCCCCCTTGCTGATCCATGGACCATTTGTGCAGATTGGAATTTGGAGCCAGACGCACTGACCAAGGGCGGCCTGCTCGAGGTCTGGGACGGGGAGATTGTCACCCCCAGCAGATGCAGTGCGACCTGTACGCTTGGTAGTGGCTCATTGATCGACTACTTGGTAGTCAAGATGGGGCTTTGCTGACCACATACGAGTCAAGGCTTTCACGTTAGTTCCGTGGGAGACCCATGTAGCCTTGGATATCGAGATCCTTTCGGGCCACGCTGAATGGTGGCATCAGGTTTTGGGCGCTCCCTGTGAGCTCCCACAGCGACCCAGGCCCAAGAAGGCCCCAGACCCTGGCAGCAAGAGATCGCGGTGCCGCGAGGAGGCTCGGGTCCGCAGGCGGGAGCGTCTCAGCGCAGATTTGCAGGAGGCGTTCGACGAGGTCAATCCTCCCGATGACGAGCAACCTGACGATGGTGCCGAGCAGGTACCCTTTCTGTTGGAATCGGAGACCTGGGTCAACGCTGCCTCGGAGGTTCGACCCTGGGCCCGAACCATTTCGGACTCGAGGGCCTGGGCTTTCCCCTCTGGCGCTGAAGTGGGCGTGCTGAGGGTTCCCCAGTCTTATCATCGATGGGCATCTACTTTGGAACTGGCCATATTACATACTGGAGGTGCTAAGTCCGACCAGCAGGCCCAGTACATCGGCCGCGGCAGCTTGCATGGCCTCACCTGGCGCAAGCTGCATCCGCCCCCTGGGCGCACTCACATGCGTAACCCTGCGATGGAGTTTTGGTGGGCGATCTCGTCGTTGGTCACATGGTACACTACCCTACGCCGACGCGACAGGGATCCCGATCAGCAAGGGGCCTTGACCACCTCCATCTCCAGCCTGAATGACCAGGCCGAGGCCCAGCCGAGGGCCGTCTTGCTCGGACCCAGGGCCACTCCAGGAGTGGTTTGATGTGGCCTGCCTCCTCACTTACGGGCCGCCTCTGGATTTGGACACCCTGGAGCGTTTCGTCGAACTTATGGAGACTTGGCGCTCCCGTTCTTGGGGCAGGGCCTCAGTGTCCTCGGGCGCCGCCTACGTCAAGTGGGCCAGGGGCTGCTGGCGTACAAGGCCTTCGGTGGTCCATCGTTACGTCCGCGACCCTCAGCAGCCCGCGGCGCTGGAAGTCCCTGTTGGTGGGCCCGAGGGGGCCACTGGCGACCCTGCCAGGCTCGTGGGGCACAAGCTGCAGGTGTGGAGGGCGATCTGGACCGACCCGCACGCGTCTCGCGAGGACCTGTGCAAGGGAATGCAGCTGTTGTTCAAGCATGCTCGGGCCCACCCCATCAGTGACCTGGAGGATGAGGACATCATGAGAGTTGTCGCCAGGATGGCGCCCAACAAGGCCCGAGGTGTGGGCGTCCTCAGCCCCATCGACATTCAGAGGCTGCCGACCGAGGGGCGGCAGCAGTTCGGCGTCATGCTGCGTGCGGCTGAGCGGGTAGGCTCGTGGCCTGTCCAGCTCTTGCTAGCCGTGGGGGCGACCGTCCCGAAACCGTCAGGAGGTGATCGGGTGATCGGTGTTTTACCGACCTGCATGGGAGTTTGGTCGAGAGCTCGGACCCCGATCACGGTCCAGTGGTCCCAGGACCTCTGCGAGTTTTGGGACGCGGCTATCCGATGCTCCTCGGCTCCTAGAGCGGCCTTACAGAGGGCTATGTTAGATGAGTCCTCCTTCCAGCTTGGATTCACCTCGCCCCCCCTCCTCCTCGACTTGGAAAAGTTCTATGACCATCTCAGCATGCTCTTACTCATGTGCGTCTCGATCGATCAGGGATTTCCCTCGATTGTCACCCTCTTAGAAGTGCAGATGTTCCTAGCTCCCAGGATCCTTCGGTCCAAGAAAATCGCCTCGAAGTTAACCTTTCCCACGCGCTCTATTGTAGCAGGCTCAGCGCACGGTGTCAAACTTGCCAGCGTTTTCCTGGGTCCGATTATGTCGGCTGCTCATGCGGCCTCGGGGGTCCGTGCCCTTGTCTCCCCCGCGGGCCTCTGGGCCTTTGTTGATGACACCGTCGCGCGGACCGAGGGCACAGAGGAGAGTGTTATCGCTCAGATTTCCATTGTTGGCGAGTCCTTTGCCCGATCGTTTGCCTTGCATCAGTTGCCCGTGTCGCCTAAGACCAAGGTCATTGCATCCTCTCCTGAGGTTGTAAAGCGCATTGTAGCCAATCTGAGGGAAGCAGGCATCCCAGCCTCCCTGGCGGTCCAAGCTGTTGACCTCGGGTGCGACACGGGAGGTGGGGCTCGTCGGGCGGTGGTTAAGCTTACGGACCGCCAGAGGAAGGCCCGCCCACGTGCACAGCGCATTCGCCGTTTGCGACGCCACGCCAAGGCGGCGAAAGTTTCTCAGGGGCTCTGGCTTCAGGGAGCGCTCCCCCAGGCCGTTTACGGCCATCAGGCCATGGGCCTCTCCCCTTCTTTCATCCTAGCCTTGAGGCGTCAGGCGGCCCACTCGGTTGACAGTAAAGGTCCAGGCCGTTGTCTTACCATTGTGCTCTCATTATGTTATGCCGAACGAGAGCCCTTCATTGCTATGAGGGCTCAGGTTTTATACACGTGGTTTGACATGTGGAACCGCTTTCCTGAGACGCACGCCCGTATCACCCGCTCGTGGCATCACATTCGGGGCCGACTTGACATTATGGCCTCGAAACGCTGGCGCCGGGTTCGTGGCCCGATCGGGGCGGTCGTCGCCACGTTACTTGATGTTGGTTGGAAGCCTGTGTCCCCCGTCGAGTGGCACAGACCTGTGGGCGACCAATATGAGGTTTGGCATTTTCCTGATCGGGACGACGTTGAGCGGTCTCGAGGGTGACTTCGATGTCGCTGAGTTGGTTGATGATTTCAAGGAAGATTTGAATGCTGCGTTGTGGGCCCAGGCCTCGCCCCACCCCCGCGGCGACGACCTGGCCGAGGGGGCTGACCTCCAACCCCCGCGCCAGGAGTTTAGGCGCCTTGAGCAGCGTGATCAGCATGAGCAGGTAGGTATACTCACGATTGTCGTGTCGGGGGGCCAGTGGACCCACGTCCGCCAACATGAAGCGGGGCATGCGGTTTCCACTACCTGCCCCCGCTGTGGCCTGGCCCCCGAAACGCTTTTTCACCGTGTGTGGGAATGCCCCAAGAATTGCAATCATGAGGCCTTTGAGCTGTCGGACGGCCTGAGTCACCAGGCCCGTGTAGGCCACGAGGCTAATCCAGCCTTGTGGCTCCGTGGCCTTCCTCCCAGATCTTTAACTTGCCCTGCGTTCAAGGACGGGGGGGCGGACGCGTCGTGGGAGGTGGGGTCGTCGCCGTCGTTGGTCGAAGGATCCTCTGTCGATGCGGCCAGGTCCCCCGCGGGACTCCTGCGGGTCTTTGGAGATGGCTCTGGAAGCGCCTTCAGCTCCGACCCGCGCCGCCGACGCGTCGGCGCTGCTGCTGTCCCGGTGGCTTGGGACGGCGCCAAGTGGCCCCGACTAAAAGGTTGGGCCTCCACCAACACAGGTCGCCGCCAGACGGCCCCCAGAGCGGAGCTTCTGGCCTTTGAGTTGGCGCCCCGCAGTGCCCCAGGGGAGTTTGAGTACGTCGCCGACAACCAACCCCTTTTAGAGGGGTGGCGGCGGCGCCGCTTCTGTCACAGTAGTGGTGTGAATTCGGATTGGTGGTTTCGTATCCGCTTGGCCCTCGAGGGCCGCGAGAACGGGATTTCTGTTTTGTGGGCCCCCGCCCACCTGGATCCCGCGGACCCCTCCTTGTCGGATGACCAGGTGCTTCTCGCGGCGGGCAATGAAGTGGCTGACGAGTTGGCGGGCCAGGCTGCTCAGGAGTCTTTGGACCTTGCTACTCGTGGTCAGCGCGTGCCCGACGCCGACAGATGGGGCGCCGCGTGTTTTCTCATCCGCCAGCGGGCTGCCCAAGCGTTGGCGGATTCCATCCGCGTAACGCCAAGACAGTCCAAGATAACGCCATGACGTCGACGTCGTGTTCGAATCGCTCTTGGAGTGTCTTCCAACGGCCCAAGGGAGGC